GGATTCTGGACTCACCATCTGTTGGAGAGGTATCCCTGATGAACTATCCAAAATCTGCAGACTGGGGCAAGCTGTTAAAATACATAAGCAGCAGGAGATTCGCCCATTGGTGATGTTTAGCATGGATAGAGGAATTGATTAGTTTTTTTCTATCAGCCCACAGGCAGAGGGGGTTTCACACCAGGATTGCAAAAAACCACATGCATTTGAGCACGCATGTTCGTTTGCATTTCTCACATATTCCCATGGGATGCATTTTGACAGGTCATTCACTTGAATAGACTGCAAAGTGTACTAGACTGCAAGAAAAGTAGTGCTTGCACTATTTTTAAAAACACACTGCATCAATCCACACTACCATGCGATTTGGTGTTCGCAAACCCACTGCATTTGCAATCTGCTCTTGGGGTGCCATTAACAATGACACCCGTATACAGATCACAAAGGCAGTGCGAAAATAAGGGGAGAGGAAGTTGAAACGATAATAAAAAAGGGCCAGATATGCAAAATATGAAAATACTGCATTTAGATGACTGAAAATGATTTACTCTGACCAAATATTTGGCCATTTTGTAGCTTTCCATAAACTTGCAATTACAGAAAATCATGCTGCAGAAATAAGGCGAGCTAGCCTGGCTGCCGCACACCTCGCCCAGCCCGAGTGGTTAGCAGGTAAAAAGCTTTTACCTGCTAACCACTCAGGCCGGGCGAGGTATGTGGCGCCTGGGCTACCTCGTCTTATTTCTGCAGCATGCTTTGGGTCTAGACGGATCTTTACCCAGCCTGCACTCTTACTAGTCAGCAGCATCCAACTTATCACACCTTGAAAGCCTGAGAAGGGACCCTTAACCATTTATTGTGGGCTACAGAAAATCATGCTTGAAGTTTCTAATTTGGGTTCAAAAGAAAAAATCAGCTTGGATATTGGTCTGAAAAATGCCTTAGTAGTAGTGTTTGGTCAGTGCTTTGATCAATTTTTCCTGCAGTTTAGATCATTTGCGGTCAGCTTACTTGATATAGGGAGCTGCATATGGTATGAATGACTCCTCCAAAAACGTGTTACCCCTGACATCACTAAAGGACCACACATGATATCCAGAATAAATAACAATAAAATCTCAGTTAAAAGTGCCATTCACATTGCTGTAACAGGGAGTTGGGTTTACAACTTTCAACTACAATTTTCATTTTAAAGTGAAAGTGTAGTATATATTTTGAATTATTTTTGCAGCTTTTGCATTTTTATTTTTTAGCTTTCACTTTTTTATGTGCTTGCTTCTGCATATTTGTGTTACTTTACAAAATATAGAGATCTGCTATTTAACCAGAAGAGGGAGCCCCGTGTTTCACTTAGTTCGCTGAGTAACCCAAGTAAAACAAGATAACAGCCACACAGGCAGTGCGTTGTCTTCAATGAGGTGGATTTACTAAAGAAGCTGAGAATGCTCACTGAAGAACTTGTGTAAATATCTCATAATCATCCAATTAAGTGAAAATAAATTTTCCTGATCACTTTGAATACCCAGTCATGCGCAGATACTTTTCACATGACTGGACAATTGAAGTGAATGTCAACACATTTTTCAGTGAACTTTCTCAACTGACCTAAAGTTACATAACTGTATCCAAGCACCACAAACTAAAAACTAGATTTAAAGTGATACTAATGGATCAGATTTTTCTTAAAATAACAAAACATGTCATACTTACCTGCTCTGTGGAATGGTTTTGCACAGATCAGCCTCGATCCTCCTCTTCTCTGGGCCCCCTCTGGGGGCTGCTTGCTCTGGGGGCACTTGTGTGTGCTTGCTCCCGAGCAGCCTCTGTGTGTATTACCAGAGATTCTCTCACTTTAGAGTGATTTGCTGACAGGTGTTATCGCACAATGAAAAAAAAACATTTAGTTCTACTTTAAGTGAACTTGCTCTTTTCAAGTGATTACCCTCTTCCCACCTACCACATTTGTCATTTACACCCATTTCACACAAAGGATCTGATCAGGTCCACCTGTCAGTAATTCACTTGGATCTGATTGGACCCTCCATTCACTTTTTTCTGTTTACACGCACCTACCTCCAATCCGATCCAGTCTGGAAAAAAAAATACAGAAGGGGATCATCCACTTCCTTTACGTGGAACAAATCAGAGGGCAGTTGGGTGTGAACTGACAGTAAAGTCCGTTTACTCCTAACTGCCCACAGAGCAGAGTGAGCTCTGTAAGTGTCCGCTTTGCAGAAGTTGACTTATCCTCCTGGTCTGCTCAGTAGTGATGGGCCGAACACCCATGTGTTCAGTTTGCACTCGAATGTTTGAACCCAATTGAATGTTCGACCGCAAACTTCAAACTCAATGCAAGTCTATGGGACTCAAAGTTGTTAATTCAAAATTGCAAATTTTGAAGGCTTATATGCAAGTTATTGGCCATAAAAGGGGTATGGGGACACTCGGGTACTGCCCTGAGGGACATGAATCATCGAAAAACAAAATGAAAAAAAAAAACAGTTTTTAAAGGGGCAGTCATTCTTTACTGCTTACACCCCGGTCACATGCCAGGCGACTTGCAAATCGTATGCCAAGTCACACCCTATTGTCCGTTATGAGAATGGTCATATCGGTCTGGTATCGACTTGGTCAGAGCCGCACTGATTTCTAAAGTAGTACATGCACTACTTTTGTTGCGATTTGCATAGACATCTGTGTCAGATGTCTTGCAAATCGCAACTGAAATTGGCAAGTCACCCAATTTTGAAATCGTGCGACTTCACTGTAAGTTGCACGATTTCAAAATCGGCTTTGATGTGACCTGAGGCCTAAATTTGAACTACCTGCAAAGTTGAACATCTGTACAATGAACCTACTGAAACAGGACTGACATTTTTTTTAAAAATAAGAAAAAAAAAAAAAAAAAAAAAAAACAGCGTGAGGTCCCTCCCCTAATCCTTACCAGACCCTTTAGGTCTGATAGGAAGGTTAGGAGGGATCCCACAGTAAAAAAAAGTTTTTAAAAAAAAGTGCGTGGCGTTCCCCTTAAAAGTCCTACCATGCCCTTTAGGCCTGGTAGGAGTTTTAAGGGGAACCCTACCTCCCACAAAATCGGGGAGAAAAGTGCGTGGGGTTCCCCCTAAAAGCCATACCAGGCCTTTTAGGCCTGGTAGGACTTTTAAAGGGAACCCCACCCCCAAAAAATGGGGGGAACAAAGCGTGGGGTCCACCTAAATTCCTACAGGACCCCTGATCAGAGCAAAGGCCTGGCAGGGCAGGAAGGGGGGTGGGGGGGTGATCAAGCACCCCCCCCTGCCCTCAGCATTATTTAAAGGGGTGCCCTTATGCTAATGAGCCCCCCTGCCCAGAGACCCCCTCACCACCAGGTCAGGGTTGTGGGGAAGAGGCCCTTGTCCCCATGCTGAGGGCATGTGGTATGGTAAGCCGCAGGAATGGGGGGCGCTAAATCGTCCCCTCCTTTCCTGCCCTGCCAGGCCTGTGCTCGGATCAAGGGTCCTGTAGAACTTAGGGGGGAACCCCACACTTTTTTCCCCCATTTTTGGAGGTGGGGTTCCCCTAAAAGTCTTACTAGGCCTATAGGGTCTGGTAGGGCTTTTAGGGTGAACCCATGCACTTTTTTAAATATTTTTTACTGTGGGGTCCCTCCTAACCTTCCTACCAGACCTAAAGGATCCCTAAGGGGGGACCCCATGCTGTTTTTTTCAATGTCATTTAAAAAAAAAAAGTCAGTTCTGCGGCAGCAGGTTCTGTACATTGAAGAAAAAAAAATGGAAACAGTGGTGACGCAGAAGCATTGTAAAACACAATGACATTTCACTGACTTGACTTTACTACAGCAACACACTACACAAGGCTGCTGTGTAAGCAGCCTTATATAGTGTGGGGGTGTGGACTTAGCCATGAGCCATGATTGGCCAAAGTCACTGTGACTTTGGCCAATCATGGCTCTCACAGTGCATTATGCTGTGATTGGCCAAAGTAATGCACCTGACCGGTCAGGTGCATTGCTTTGGCCAATCATGGCGCTCACAGTGCGTTGTGCTGTGATTGGCCAAAGGAATGCACCTGACCGGTCAGGTGCATTGCTTTGGCCAATCTTGGCTCTCACAGTGCGTTGTGCTGTGATTGGCCAAAGCAATGTACCTGACCGGTCAGGTGCATTGCTTTGGCCAATCTTGGCTCTCACAGTGCACTGTGAGAGCGCAGTGCATCGTGGGGTGCTCAGTGCGTGAACAGCCTGGTGAATGCCCTTACTGTTCGTGTGTTTGGTGAACGGCCTATGTTCGAGCCCAACACTACTGATCAGCAGAATATCAGCGGACAGATCCCCTGCTGAACAAAACAGAGGGGCCTTATACACCGAAGCCTGATTTGGATCCTGAGAAGAAGCCCAAGCAAATACAGAAAGAAAATCAATCTGTTTGCCAATGGTTCCATGAGAACTGTTCTCATACACTCCCTAAGGGATGGAAGGCAGCAGCGCTAACCACTCTTATATCCAAATATTGGCTGACACACCACAAACTATTGATCCCACAAGGAATGCCAGTAGATGGAACAACTGCCATGACCCCTAAAAGCTGTGCAGTTGGCAGTATCCTTTCTGCTTGATCCAGGTGCACATATATAGTAGATTTATAGTTTGACAGTATATAGTCTTCCTATTTGAGCCCTGATTTTATTTTTAAGACCAGCTACCTTCTAAGCATGAGAGAAATAACTTGTAAATACTATTATTACATGATCATTTGCAATCATAGCTTGTTGTAATCCTCATGGAATGTCTTGAAATCTACTAGTGACCTATAGCACAGTGTTTTCGGAAATCGCCCATACATACAAATCTATAGCTGCATTCCTGGATTGCTCCTCCCACTCTCACAATAGGCTTCACCATGAAACCAGAGCACATTGGACAAAGGTTAGTAGAGTAGAGCAGGAAGGGAGTTACATAAACCACAGTGCAGTGTTCCTCTGCAGAAACAACATCTACAGCTATGACTGCAGACAGCATCGACGATATACTACCCCGGGATTTCGCCTATGTCATCTTCAGCTTCATCTACAGCTATGTCGTAATTATGTATCTTGGTATAAACGTGGGAAAAGCCAGGAAGAAGTATGGAGTCAAGGTAATCATCCAAAGACAGGTTTAGAGGATGCAGGGAGAGTTTGTTGTTATTGTAGCTAGCTCTTTAAAGACAATGATCTACATCACTCAGCTAGCTATTTTGAAATACAAATGTCAGAATTTCTTTTATATTTTTTTAGAAGCTTTAGGGTTTATTACGCTTCTGTGAATTTTAAAGGATCTACACTCTTTATCCCATGCAACTGCTATCTGGAGCTTTGCACTGAGAAAATATGAATTTGGGGCGGGTCAGTGACTTGTTTCAACCAGTTCAAAACTGAAAAAAAGGGAAACACTTTTTTTTTTAGATGTGTAATCAATGCAACGTTGTTGACATATTGATTATAATGTTATTGTATGATTTATTTATTTATAATGTAGATGATCATCGTAACAAATAGTCTAACATGCTACTATTGGAGGCAGGAGGAACCTCACTGCACCTTGAGATTATTTCGGCTGTATTCACGCCTATCCACATAAAGTGACACAAGTGAATTGTGTTTGTATCCACAACACAATGCGCAAAATATGTGTTACTATTTATTCTGAAAAGCCCCTCACCCCCAAATCAGTGTAAACAAGTGGATCAGCACTACAGCACACCAATAGCTCAGATGTTACACACACCCTCTATGCTTTATGGTATGTTGCCCAAAAGTAGTACAGGTCTGATTTTGTGTTTGCTGAGGCATGTTAAAGCAGATCTTCGATTGCAATGGGGCTGCTTCTGCATTGCAAGGGTTAAATGCTCATTCATGTCTAGGGACCTGGAAAAAGCACTTTTAGCCCCTGTTCATGTTTGATTCAAATGCGATTCAGTGCGGTGCAATTTGAACCCATTCATTTTGAATTAGTAAGGTTAGCAGCACTGCATTCTAGTGTGACCTAGCCGAAGTTACCTGATCTCCCAGTAGCCAGTGTCCTCAAGTCCAGTGCTGGGCTATGGTCTCTATTTGATGGAGTTGGTGGATCTCTTGCCCTCAGAATGTAGAGAAGAAGAGACTGTGGGCACTGAAATAGCAGCATCCATGGCCTGCAGGAGCAGCCGATCAGGCCTTTTCTGATCCCCAGACATAAATTAGCCCTTTTAACCCTTGCAATACAAGGGCAGCCCCATTGCAAGGGGGACTTCTTGTTTATTTATTTCAGATACTTATATAGCACCGTCAATTTACGCAGAGCTTTACATATATATTGTACATTCACATCAGTCCCTAACCCTCAAGGGGTGTACAATCTAAAGTCCCTAATTCACATTCATAAATACACATACTAGGGTCAATTTAAACAGGATCCAATTAACCTACCAGCATGCCTTTTGGAGTGTGGAAGGAAACTGGAGTACCCCGAGGAAACCCAGGCAGGCACAGGGAGAACATGCAAACTCCAGGAAGGTGGTGCCGTGGTTGGGATTTGAACCGACAACCCTAGCACTGCCAGGCAGAAGTGCTAACCATTTAGCCACTGTTTTCCCCAGAGTTCAGCTTCATCTTTAAAAATAAAATGTATTACAGAAGAGAAATGCTAGGTCTCTTCTGCAATAACCTACCTACCTGTTAACAATCTTCTTTAAGCTCACCATACACTATACAATCAGATTGTGCAATCTCCTTTAGATCCACCATCAATTATGTAGTGCAAGGGCCTGCCAGATTGTGTCCTGCAGTTATATAGTTTTGGTAAAATTAAAGGAGATTGTGCAATCAGATTGTATAGGGTCTGGCCACCTTTAGAGTGCAAATTAACTGCATATCATAGGTGCTGGAATGAAATAACTCCTGTGCACGTGTACAGGAGTTACAATATGTCATTCTGGCCCAGCCAATCAAGATGGCTGAAGATCCAGCACCTAAAAAGCGATTAGGCGAGATGTCAGCAGCGACAAGTTTAATTCTACTTTATTGGCTCACAAAAGTGGAAACATGGGTTCTCTTAACCAAATACACCTCAATGTGCTAAAATATTTTTACATCAACAAGTATTAAAAGGTTTAAATCAACTATAATGAGGTCTGTTTTATAAAGCAGTTCACATTCTGTAATCATTCACTCCTTTTGACAGTCAATTTTCTTCTGGTGTAGCACAAGTTGTAGGCCATTGTTACCATTCACTTTTTTCAAGATTTGTCAACTTTTGCCTGTTGAGTGCAGTTGTTTATGGACATCGCCCTTTATACATGGGCCCCATAGATTTGTATTCTATTAATGTAAAATTTAGCACAGCCATAGATGGCAGATCTTGTAAAAGATCTTGAAGACCATAACTATAACAAATACTCAATGTCATACCATATTAACTGCAGTGCTGTGTTTGAGTCACTGTAGTTTTCTTTTCCATTGGATTGGTCACCATGCTAGAAAATCTGTTGAACCTGTGCTTGCTTAGATAAAATTGACAAAATAAAATCTACTTTCTTTCTATGAAGTTCTGTTTCTGGACATTCCTTATGAACAGCTCACTTTATGTTCATGTGTTCCAGAAAGAATTACTTGCCACTATAGAACACTTCTTGTCTATGATATAGTGTAATACAGGGTTGTAGGAAGAGAACATACTTCCAAAACTGTCCCCAATTTCTTAATAGTAAGAGGTCTTAAAGTAGAACTACAGCCATTTTTTTAGTTTTGAGTGGAGAGAGATTAGAATACCTGTCAGACTTTTATTTCTCCCATTAGACAGTTGTCACCAGAGTAAAGCGGAACCTATCCAAAATAGTACGCTAGTTCTAGTGACCCTGGTGGCAGCCAGGGATTCCCTCATGTTTGAATGATTTTCTCCCACTTCCTGTTTTGTCACTTGGACAAGAGATGAAGGGAAATCTCCACAATGGGACACAGATGGAAAAAAACAGACAGAAGTTATAACCCTCCCTTACTCATTATACAAAATTAAATTAAAAGTTTTGGCCCTAGTTCTACTTTAGTCTGATCATTGAAATCTTCACACTGATCAATGGTTTCTCTCCTACGTACAATTTTGTTATCGGATACTGCTAGTAGTCTGTCGCAGACTTCTTGAGGCTAAATACTAAGTGACATCACTAATAGCTGCCTGCCAAACCATGTATTCGCAGCTATAAGTAAATAAAAACTGGATGTAAGGTTGTTTTGCATTTCTTTGAAATCCAACAGCACTATTTACAGTAGCTTAGCCCTCTGGGAGTTTTCTACTTTCAATAAATGTGCCATTTCTTGTATTCAATAGAAAAATCCGAATGGCACCTTTTATGGATCCTTTTTCCCTTGGCTCACAGTGCTGCCTTGTGTGGGCAGAATACCATCATTTCCATAGGGATCACTGGTTGAGTGTTTGATTTGGCTCAAGATCTTGGCTCACCTGCAACTAATGCTTCAGTATTCAATAACTTCTGAAATGTCCTTATGAACTTAACCTTTTACCTGAAATATAAATATATCTGTAAATGCCCCACCTAGGTACAGAAACCTTTTTTGAAGTTGCAGGGTCTTAAGTCCGATTTCTCTCGTCATGTGACTGTGTCACAAGTCACATCCCAAGTCGCACCAGGGATTGATCTAGCCAATCTTATCGGGGTGTGCAGTATAAAAAGTCAAGGAGCATAATGTCAATATTGTGACAGAGTTGCAGGTGACCAGTATTCCCTGTTCACTAATGCCTGGTTTACTCTAGTGTGATCATTTATGAACCAAAATCTCATCACATTTTATCGAAGTCTATGGCCCACAAAATCACACTGCACTGCGCCAAAGTAGCACAGGATCTTTCTCCAAACTCACATCACAATTGCATTGATGTAAACAGCCACCACTGAAAACAATGCTATTTTATTGTCATTTGATTCTGTGCAATGCAATTAAAATCAGAAACTTCACTAGCGTAAACCTGGCATCAACACACTTCACTACCCAGAGTCACCCAGAAATAACATCTGACAGACAGAGGCAGTGCAGGAGTGAACAATGAACGCTAGTATATATTAGATTAGGATGCATAAAAAGAACCTGTGCTTCCTTATATCAAGTATCCCTGTCAGAGCATCTCCCCCCCCCCCCTTACATCAGGGGTCCTCATCAGAGTCTTTACATCTTTACATCCCCCCCTCTTTACATCAGGTGTCTCCATCAGTTTGCCCCTTACATCAGGTTCTCCATCAGATTGTCCCCTTACATCAGGTGTTCCCATCAGAGTAGAGTGCCTCTTTGCATCAAAGTACTACCTTATATTAGCTATTCAAGCCACAGTGCTCCCTTATATCAGCTGCCCCATCAAAATGCCCACTTACATCAAATATCCCCATCAGAGTCCCCGTTACATCAAATGTCCCCATCTGAATACCTGCTATCATCAACTATCCACATCAGAGTGCCCCCTTACATCAACAGGCCCCTTCAGATCCCCCCCTTCATTATCCCTATCAGCGTGCCCCTTACATCAGGTGTCTCCATCAGAGTTACCCATTACATCAGGTGTCCCTATCAGAGTACCCCTCGCATCAACCAGAGTACCTCCTTACATCAACTATCCACATCAGAGTACCCTCTTACATCAACTGCCCCATCAAAGTCCCCCTTACATCAATTGTCCCCATTAGACTCCCTCTTTCCCCATCAGAGTGCCCCATTACATCAGATTTCCCCATCAGATTGCCCCCTTACATCATGTGTCCCCATCAGATTGCCCCTTACATCGGTGTCCCTGTCAGAGTGCCCCCTACATTAGTTGTGCCCATCAGAGATCCTTCTTACATCAGTTGTCCCCATTAGAGTCCCCCCTTATATCCATTGCCCCGATCAAAATGCCTCACTAATCAGTGGGTGCACGCTTGGAGACTTGGGGGGGGTTCACAGCCCACCCCAGCAGCCCTCTAGATCCAGGCTGGAGTTATACCAATAAACTAGGGCCAAATGGATGCGGATAATATACTTTACAATGCCCATATTTTGGGGAAAGCCATGGTAATCATACATTGAATTTCCAGATAAGGGAGATTAGAAAGGCTTCATTCAAAGTACAAGTTTGCAGTGTTCATCTGTGAGCCCTCCACTAAAACTGCAAGTCATGGTTACTATGTTAAAAACGCCTATAACTCCACATGGGTGTGGTGTAACTAGTTTATCCAGATATGCAGTAGGATAATGCTGTAAACATAGGAAAAAATAATTTGATAGCACAGATGCATATAGGATTCCTGCTGCAAGAGCTTTCTAAAATATATATAGGTGAATTATATCTTTAAAGTTAAGTAAAGCGAGATTATTCAGAAATGTCACATAAGATAAACAGCATCATTAAAGATAAAAAGTATATACAAATATAAAAGTTTTTGGTCCAAATTCAGTTAAATGCCATATTCAAGTTTTAGTTAGCGATGTCTTGTTTTTTTCTCTCATTGGTATAAATTCTACTGTCATTTCTGTTATTTTATTACAGTATCCCCAGATGTATTCAGACAAAGAGAATGTGTTTAACTGTATTCAGAGAGCTCATCAGAATACATTAGAAGTGTATCCCGCCTGGCTGATCTTTCAGCTTATTGCAGGACTTGCATTTCCGGTAAGTAACTGTATATACTGCAAGCACATTTCCCATTTTCTAAAGGTACCCAGCCAAATCCAGCTGCTTACCCTGATGTCAACTAGCCAGATCTTTACAAAATGTAAAGTGTATATAAACCCCAAAACAAAAATGTAATGTGTTGCAGCTTACCAAACTTTAAACATGGTGACTGCATTTGTTTACTGTTTGTATGCTTTTCTCCTTTATTTTCATCTGGTGATCAGCCTAATAACACTTTTATATTAGGGTGTCTCTGGATGGGGAAGCAACAGAGCCACCTTTGGACAGCAGCATTGGCAATCTGGGGATAGGGTAGTTTTAAATGTAGTAGCAGATTTAGATGGACTTCACTATCAAATTAAAATGAACTCCATAGTTTGAATGAGATTTTCTTCATATTTTTGGACATTCAAAAATGTGTGCCTACTGGGTGCAGGTTCCACATTCCACTTATGCAATAACAGCTGCTCATGTGCCTCAGGAGATTGGCCCTTGCTTACTGAGCCTTGTGAATTCCTTGCAGCCAGGATATTGCTTGGTATTTTGCTGTATTATGCTAGAAAGGCCATTGTCCTCCACTGGAAATCTCCTATGCCACCAATTCTATTGGAGGTCTATCATAAATGCTGCTCTTCCCTTGTACAAGGCTGCATTTAACAACTGAGGATGTCTCTCTTACTCTCTAAGAAAGTGTGGCCCCAGGGTTTGAATAACTCCAATACTGTGGTTCTGCCTTTTTTGTTATGATACTTGGGCTGTTGCGTAGTGCCCTAGGCATTTTGATGCCTATCAATCCAAGATGACTTCACCTTTCATATTTTGCTCCTACGAAGTTTCAGCTTATTAGGAACTTGTCTTCTGCTGATGCATGGCCAAGAGATTGCTCCTCTTGCTTGTATTGTTTTAGTTGAGTAGGTTCTTCTGACCAGAATCTACTGCCAAATTCTATGCTTTAAAGGACGCTTGGAAGTCCTATACATTGTCTTTAATCCTGTGGGTGACGTTGAGGGAATGGAGAGCAACTAGCTTGTTAGTCTGTCTATTGTTGGTGTATTGGTGAACTATAATGGTTCCTTGTGTCTTCTATTTGTAAAACTCAATAAAATAGAATTTATTTAAACAAAACTGTAAGGCTAGGTTCATATCTGTGCAGGTTGTTCCCTTTGTCTGTCTGAACCTGTACCTGCAGCCGCCCGTAAAAAGATACACGCTGTATGCGTGTGGGTGCCATTAATCCTAACAACACGCAATGGGAACGACACTGCACTTGGGGTTCCCATGCTGGCTGTGATTCTAGAAGTGGTGCAGGGGCCTTTTCCCTGCATTTCAGTAGGCACAGCAGCCTATTCAAATGAATAAGCTGCTGTTCCAGCACAAAACTTGGCTCACAGAGCCGCATAAGTGTGAACTTAGGCTAATTAAAAAATGCGGAAAGGCAGTTTTTAATGCAGAAGAGATAAATTATATCTCTTCTGTATTATAGTTTCTTACCAGCCTGTGCGCAATGTGCTCTGAGCTGCCCAGACTTGCCATCCCATTTTGATCCCTGCCATGATGAGTGAGCTCTGCAAGAGTGGAAGTGATGTCATCTTGGCCCAGCCAATGAAAAAGGTCAAAGATTGGTACTGGCTGGTGAGGGTGCTCTGGGACATTACAAAGCTAGAGTGGGGGTAAGTATTGTTCAGCATTAAGAAGCTACAGAAACAATTTTTCTTCTTTTGGGGTAAATGTTTTACGTAAAAAGGCAGACAGAGGGCAAAGGACCAGTTACCATTATTGCCCATGAACACTCTGCAGCTGATCCTTTCCTTGTTACAGACCTGCCATGCCTTGTTTTGAGCTGTGTCTCTATATGGAGGTTGTCATCATGACAGAGACAAGGCTTTACTTCCTCATGTCAAAGCCAACAGCAGTTAGAACTGTGGGTACCACAATAGTGACATCACCAAATCTCACTCCTGATCTCCAGATAACAGTCAGAGACAGCAGTGATTTCACACTGCAGATATACAGTTAGGCAGTAGGGACACGTGTGCCTAGGCACACTTACGTATCAGGAAGTTCATTGCTAATGTATTATATATTCCCTATAATATATTGAATATTTACTTTTTGAGTTCAAGCTCACTTTAAGCAGTTTAGCAAGAGTTTTTTTTGAAGATAAACTATGATAAGCTGCAAAGCCGTGTTACATAGTAATGATTGCAGCCTCAGCAAACCTCATTCAAGCCATGCCCCCAACATGCTTTGCCCTGCCCCGAACTTGATCATGTGGTGGGTGGGGGTTTCTACTGGCAGTGGGTTGAGGTACAGTGCCTTACTGTACTTAGTATTCATACCCCTTGAAATCTTCCATATTTTGTCATGTTACAACCAAAAACATAAATGTTTTTTATTGGGATTTTATGTGATAGACCAACACACAGTGGCACATAATTGTGAAGTGGAAGGAAAATGATAAATGGTTTTCATGGTATTAAAAATTTTTAGAAATAAATATCTGAAAAGTGTGACATGCATTTGTATTCAGCGCCCCGGAGTCAATACTTTGTAGAACCACCTTTCACTGCAATTACAGCTGCTTGTCTTTTTGGGTATGTCTCTACCAGCTTTGCACATCTAGAGAGTGACATGTTTGCCCATTCCTCTTTGTAAAATAGCTCAAGCTCTGTCAGTTTGGATGGAGAGCATCTGTGAACAGCAATTTTCAAGTCTTGCCACAGATTCTCAATTGGATTTAGGTCTGGACTTTGACTGGGCCATTCTAGCACATCAATATGCTTTGATCTAAACCATTCCATTGTAGCTCTGGCTGTATGTTTAGGGTCATTGTCCTGCTGAAAGGTGACCCTCCGCCTCAGTCTCAAGTCTTTTGCACACTCTTACAGGTACTCTAAGATTGCCCTGTATTTGGCTCCATCCATCTTCCCATCAACTCTGACCTGTTTCCCTGTCCCTGCTGAAGAAACGAATCCCCACAACATGATGCTGCCACCACCACGTTTCACGGTGGGGATGGTGTGTTCAGGGTGATGTGCAGTGCTAGTTTTCCGCCACACATAACACTATGCTTTAAGGCCAAAAAGTTCAATTTTGGTCTCATCTGACCAGAGCACCTTCTTCCACATCTTTGCTGTGTCCCCCACATGGCTTCCCACAAACTGCAAACGTGACTTCTTATGGCTTTCTTTCAACAATAGTTTTCTTCTTGCCACTCTTCCATAAAGGCCAGATTTGTGGAATGCACGACTAATCGTTGTCCTGTGTACAGATTCTCCCACCTGAGCTGCAAATCTCTGCAGCTCCTTCAGAGTTACCATGAGCCTCTTGGCTGCTTATCTCATTAACCACATGCCTACTTTTACCCCCTTCTTGCCCAGGCCAATTTTCAGATTTCAGTACTGTTGCACATTGAATGACAATAGCGCGGTCATGCAACATTGTACCCATATGAAAATTTTATAATTTTTTCCAAATAGAGCTTTCTTCTGGTGGAATTTCACCACTGGGGTTTTTATTTTTTGCACTATAAACAAACAAAGAGCAAAACATTTGAAAAAATGTTTTTCTTTGTTTCTATTATAACATTTTGCAAACAGGTAATTTTTCTCCTTCACTGATGTGCGTTGATGAGGCAGTACTGATAGGTGGCACTGATGAGGCGGCACAGGTGGGCACTGATGATGCTGCACTGATATGCAGCAATGATGGGCACTGACTGGCGGCAATGGTGGGTGGCACTGATGGGCACTGGGTGGCATTAGTGGGCGGTACTGCTGGGCACTGATAATCTGTGACATTCTGACAACTGTATTAACTTTGTGATCTGCTGTGTCATTGGCTGATCACGTGGTAAAAGGCCGCTAGGACACAGCGATCACTGACAGCGCCGGGTGCACGCCGCTGAGGGTCACGGGGGGCACATTCTAGGAGGACATCATATGATGCCCTCCCAGAACTGGACAACCACGCTGTACCCGTTGTTCGGCTATAGCGCTGTTGTAAAGTGATTAATGCTCTCCTTCCTGGCCTGTCGGTTTAGGTGGACGGCCACTTCTTGGTAGGTTTGCAGTTGTGCCATATTCTTTCCATTTTCGGATGATGGATTGAACAGTGCCCCATGAGATGTTCAAAGCTTGGGGTAGTTGTTTTATAACCTATCCCTGCTTTAAACTTCTCCACAACTTTATCCCTGACCTGTCTGGTGTGTTTCTTGGCCTTCATGATGCGGTTTGTTCACTAATGTTCTCTAACAAACCTCTGAGGGCGTCACAGAACAGCTGTATTTATACTGAGATTACATTGCACACAGGTGGACTCTATTTACTAATTAGGTGACTTCCGAAGGCAATTGGTTCCACTGCATTTTAGTTAGGAGTATCAAAGAAAAGGGGGCTGAATACAAATGCACGCCACATGTTTCAGTCATTTATTTGTAATAAATGTTTTTAATTTTCCTTCCACTTCACAATTATGTTCCACTTTATGTTGGTTAGCACATAAAATCCCAATAAAATACTCTTACGTTTTGACTGTAACATGACAAAATGTGGAAAATTTTCAAGGGGTATGAATACTTTTTCAAGGCACTGTATATACCATCATAAGTGGCTCATATACAGTAATTAATTAAACTGGCAACACCTGGAAGTGTCTAAAGAAAGTAAAAGAATGAATGGGAAAGAAAAGTGCGCTGTGTAAAATGTGATGCCTCTCTCTTGGTAACTACCCACAGATTCCTCATCCATGGCAGGAAATATTATTGTGGTAGAGTGGCCCTCAACACTGATCGTTCAGAGACACATGAACACAGGATCAACTCAAAAAATGAAAAAGCAAATAACTGAACAAAAAAACTGAGCTCTAAACCGTAATACTCAGTGGAACCCACTACAGGTTTGGGATAAGCCTGAACAGAGACCCTAAGCTTTCGTTGAGTTCACATGATCATATAAAGTTGCTTGTCACAGCAACTTTTGTGTATGTAAAGCAATTGTTGTCACTGGTAAGCCTAGGGTATATTTAAAGTGCTACTAAACCCTCAACAGTAAAATCAGTATGTATATGCAGTAAAGCATGCTTGTTATACTCACTTTGGAACCTAAGGAGTTAATCCTCCGCACTGTGTAAAAAGGCTGTTTGATCCTGTATTCTCTGATCCTACCCTTCTTCTACTGTCCCCAATCTATCTGCTGATAGTACAGAGCTCTAGGAGTCACTCTGCACATGCTCAGTTTAGTATATACTGCTGGAGAGTTGTTTGTTTTTTTTCTTTGGGAGGGTGCATGTGATCGGCACAGGACCAATCCGCACTGTCAAGACAGCCTCATAAGACAGTCAGAGTAGAATGAAATCTCTTCCTACAAGTGTTACCCAGTGCTCAGCTGGACACTGATTGAAATCACAAGACTGCTATATACTGCTGATGAGAAAAGGTATTTAGCAGTATATATTTACTAAAATAATTGCAATTCCATGTTCTGTGTACTGTGGGTGACCAGATATAGTGAATGCAGGGTCCTGGGTTTAATAGTACTTTAAGTGTGGAGAAAAATATGAAAAAATAAATAAAATAAAGAAGGAATTAATTTGCCAAATGTTATACATAGATGTAAGTGTTACTAAAAACAGGACCCTGCATTCACTATATTTGGTCTCCCACAGTACACAGAACATGGAAATTCAATTATTTTAGTAAATATAAACTGATAAATACCTTTTCTCATCAGCAGTTAGAGCAGTCTTGTGACTTCTATCAGTGTTCAGCAGAGCACCAGTTAAAGCTAATAGGAGGAGTTTTCTTTCTGCACTAGGAGAATGCAGAACCCATGAGCTCTGTCTAGACAGTGCTGATTGGCCCTGTGCTGATCACATGCACTCTCCCAAGAAAAAAAAAAAAACCTTTCTAGCAATACTCACCAAACTGAGTATGTGCAGAGTGTCTCCACACGATGTGTCTTATCAGGAGATAAGAGGGGGACACTGGAAGAAGGGGAGGATCAGTCAAGATCAAACAGCATTTTTACACAGTGCAGATGATTAACCCCATAGGTTCCACAGTGAGTATAACAAGTATGCTTTGCTGCATATACAGACTGATTTTACCGTTGTGGGTTTAGTAACACTTTCACTGTATTCTGTTAGTAGAAGCAATATTTTTGCAATAGTCATCCTTTATGGTTAAGCAATCATTTGTGAGGACTTTTGAGATACAGGAATTGCATAGAACATTTCTAGGTTTATTGCATGTCCTTATAGTGCATATACATTGACAAAGGGAATACATACTGACAACTGGTATAAAAGCTTTTGCAGTATTTTTTGCCTATCATTGCAAAGCTTTAAAGAATTATAGTGGAAGCTTTTTTGGCTGTACTTCTCCTGTGGATCACAGGAGTGCAGTTTGTTCTGCACTCCTATGACCCGTTTTCAGCTGAGAGTGTGCTGAAGCCTGCTGTCGGCTGACATCACTCAGCTAGTCCAGGCCAGGGAAATATCCTGACTATAAAGTCGGGATCAACCCCAGAGTCTGGAGCAGCACATGGCTCAGTCTCTTCCCTCGCCTTACACAGCCCATCACTCCAGTGAGCACTTGGGGGGCAGAGCAGACAGCGGTGACTGACGGTCAACGCTCTCTGCTCAGAGCGGTGGTGAACTCTGTGATCAGTTGTCAGGAGCAATGCTGCATCCACCTAGGTAAGTATAACTGGGGGAAGAATTCAAATCCCTACTTCTTTTAAAGCACTTACAGCATTCATGGTGCACATTTAGCCATATCCAGGCAGGAGTAAGGAAGAATATAGGTAGATATAATTTTAACCACATTGTGGTAAAGACAATCATGAATAATCATGATAAAGCATGAGCATAAAAAGTGTTGTCAAATTTTGCATGTTTTTCTTTTCAAGTTAATCAGTAACAAAAATGGTAAAAATTCAGTTGGTTCATTTAGACTTTAAGGTCACCATTATGGTGAAAAGCCAATAGGAAGTTACTGTAGGCAAAAGGGGGCAGGCCATCCTTCAGCATTTTTTTTCTTTTTTTTACAAAAGTCAGTATTTGCATATTGAAGCTCCTGAAAGAAGATGTATGTTCTAGGTGGCATTTCCAGAAAACGTTGCTGAGGTCTGTTCAGCACAAAGGTCAGGGAGAATACAAAAAGGTGGTTAATTATCACATACAGTGAGGAACAGAAGTATTTGAATACCCTGCGATTTTGCAAGTTCTCCCACTTAGAAATCAGGAAGGGGTCTGAAATTCACATTGTAGGTGCATTCCCACTCTAAGAGACAGAAGTTAAAAAAAAAAATTCAGGAAATCACATTGTATGATTTTTAAAGAATTTATTTGTCTTGCACTGCTGAACATAAGTATTTGAACACCTAAGAAACAGCAAGAATTCTGGCTCTCAAAGACCTGTTACTGTGCCTTTAAAAAGTCCACCTCTACTCCACTCAATCTAACTTAGTAGCACCTGTCTGAGCTCTTTAAAGACACCTGTCCACCCCACAGTCAGTCAGACGCCAACTACTACCATGGGCCAGACCAAAGAGCTGTCAAAAGACACCAGAGACAAAATTGTGGACCTCCACAAGGCTGGAAAGGGCTACGGGGCAATTGCCAAGCAGATTGGTGAAAATAGATCAACTGTTGGAGCAATTGTTAGAAAATGGAAGAGGCTAAAGACGACTGTCAGTCTCCCTTGGACTGGGGCTTCATGCAAGATCTTACCTTAGGGGGTATCACTGATGATAAGAAAGGTAAGGAATCAGCCCAGAACTACATGGGAGGAGCTGGTCAATGACATGAAGAGAGCTGGGACCACAGTTTCAAAGGTCATTGTTGGTAGAACGCTACGCTGTTATGGTTTCAAATCATGCATTGCACGGAAGGTTCGCCTGCTCAATTCATCACATGTCCAGGCCCGTCTGAAGTTTGCCAATGACTATCTGGATGATCCAGAGGAGGCATGGGAGAAAGTCATGTGGTCAGATGAGACCAAAGTAGAACTTTTTGGTCTAAACTTCACTCGTCGTGTTTGGAGGAAAAAGAAGAATGAGTTGCATCCCAAGAACACCATCCCTACTGTGAAGCATGGGGGTGGTAACATCATGCTTTGGGGGTGCTTTTCTGCGAAGGGGACAGGACGACTGCACTGTATTAAGGAGAGGATGAATGGGGCCATTTATTGTGAGATTTTGAGAAACAGCCTCCTTCCCTCAGTCACAGCATTGAAGATGGGTCATGGCTGGGTCTTCCAACATGACAACGACCCGAAGCACACAGCCAGGATAACCAAGGAGTGGCTCCGTAAGAAGCATATCAAGGTTCTGGAGTGGCCTAGCCAGTATCCAGACCTAAATCCAATAGAACATCTTTGGAGGGAGCTGAAACTCCGTGTTGCTCAGTGACAGCCCTGAAACCTGACAGATCTAGAGGAGATCTGTGTGGAGGAGTGGGACAAAATCCCTGTTGCAGTGTGTGCAAACCTGGTCAAGAACTACAGGAAACGTTTGACCTCTGTAATTGCAAACAAAGGCTTCTGTACCAAATATTAACACTGATTTTCTCAGGTGTTCAAATACTTATGTTCAGCTGTGCAAGACAAATAAATTCTTTAAAAATCATACAATGTGAATTTTTTTCATAAATTCTGTCTCTCAGAGTGGGAATGCACCTAAAATGTGAATTTCAGACCTCTCCATGATTTCTAAGTGGGAGAACTTGCAAAATCACAGGGTGTTCAAATACTTCTGTTCCTCACGGTACATGTTAATTTCAAAGCTGAGTCACACACTGAGTCCTAACCAAGACCTGGCATGTAGTTTACAAAGCCAAGCTAGAGTCAGAGCTTCAAAATTGCATGTTCCAGGTAAGTGACCCTGTATTAAAGCCACTGAATTAGCATGACATCCATGATAAGTTGTCATTTTAGTGTTAACACTAGCCATTCCAAAATGTATTGTTCATGGTCCCTTACCATTGCCTACAAATTATCTGTAATCAGAACTTGTCTTTTTGAACTAAAATTGTGTAAGTAGAGCATCTAGAAAACATTAGCTATGTACAGGACATATTTATAACACATTTATTCCTTCTTTAGCTTTCTTCTTCTGTTTTGGGAGCAATCTGGGTAACCAGTCGGCTTTCTTACGCCCATGGATACTATACAGGCGGTATGTACCACAGAGAATGATTAGATTGGAAAAGAACATTTTGTGCAGCTCCAGGATCCACAAACAGTGTATCCAAACTTCTACTTTTTTAATTTTGAAGAAACAATTTAAATCATGCTTACTTTATATGAAAAGTTTAAATGCACGAGTAGAGAGGGGTTGGAACACGTATTAGGTTTTTTATTGCTGTCTATAGTCTCATTAGAGAGATTCACCCTCTCTAGTTGCCCTGGAGAAAATTACCACCAAAGGAAAAAAACTAAATTGAGTTGTCACCAGCAGGGCTGCTGTTAAAAACCACGGGGCCCCATACAGTCAACTTGACAGGGCCCTCCTCCCCCAAAAAAGCACGGTTTACTATGCTTCAGTTATAAATGAACAGAGTGAGTGATTGGTACCAATCACTTATTGTGTTCATTCGGGAAAGGAAGCGGCTGGTAAATGTGACATATTTACCAGAACCTTTCCCCACTTTGCATCTGAAGGATCCTATTGTGTGCTTGCAGCTGCTGGTGGGAAGGAGAAGAGGAAAGCCGGCAGCACTGCAGGGGTGGGCGCACACGGGGGGCCAGGGCAGCAGGGGGAAAACATATTGTACACAGGGAGGCGATGGGTGTAGTGGGGGGGGGGGGGTCAGTTAGAGGATCCAATCCCCTTTTTATAGCTCTCTCTGCAGTAGTTGAAAACCAGGGGGAGGGAGAGGAGAAAAAGCCAGCTTTCAGCTTCTGCAGAGAGACCCATACAGGGGATCAGTTCCAGTAATTGACACACCACCACCACCAGCATGCCAATCACCCTCCCTGCCCACATCAGATTAACCCACCCTGCTGGCCTGGGCCCCATACAGGAGGACTGGTGGTACCCCCTTATTTACAGTCCTGGTCACCAGCAGAAGAGTAGAAGGGAAGTATTTAAATGGGGACACTAGTTCTTGTGGCCCTGATCACTTTTGAGGGATTTCCTCTCACCACCACCTTGTAGCTATAGGTCAAGAAGTAAATAGAAATATTCCCAATGGGGCATGTTCTGTCTCTCCAATCTAAGCATTGATAGTGTGATCTCTGTAACTTACAGTTGTGATGAGATAGCGATAACTTCAACCTCAGTTGGATACCACAGTCAGTGACTCAATCGAGATGATATCTTGTAGATCTTGTGAAGTTTATTCCATAAACTGAGAGAATCTTACAACAATGAACATTCGATAGGTCAAAAGATCATAATGTTTCCTGCTCCATGACATAAGGCTAGAGCTGCAATGCCTTACTGGGAAAAGGGTTGGGTTATCTATACAGCATTAACTAAACCAAAGGAAAGGGAGAAGCAGAAACAAAATATAGAAACACTTAAAGGCATATGACAGTCATGTGAAACAGGACAGGACACAAATAGCAAAGTACTGGACAGGTATTATATCCCTCTCGTACCCTATCCAAAATGGGAAAAAAAGCCTCCTTTTCTAATATACAATATAATTTTTGTTCTTTCTTTACAGATCCAGCAAAAAGATACAGAGGTGCTTATGGATACATTGGTCTGTTTGGTGTTGTCATTTTGTCTCTTGTAGCAGGCCTTCAACTCCTTGACGTTGTTTGATCATAAAAATAATCTAGATTTTCTTCTGAAACCGAATTCAAATGTATCAACCCATCTGCCTTACTATTTCTTAAGTAAAAAAAAAAACTTTTTTTTTGTCAAAGTAGCACCGTGTCTCTGTGTTTACTTGCAATACAATGTAATTACACTGCATCTGGGTACCACAAAGCATAAAACTCATTTCATTTTAAACAAATGTATTTTTACAATTCAAAGCAAACTCACCCATCCATCCATTTCTCCATGCTTTATTTTCCTGAGAAATCACCTTAAAAAAACTTAAAAAACACTCTCTAACATTTCTGTCCAAGGCCATGTTGAGTAAGGGCAGATGATTCATGTGGCATTTTACTTTCTGGAATCCATCTGCTGTTAGTTGAGTCATGCAGGCAAGAAGGTGTGCTTAGCTGAGGAAACCTCTCCTGAAGACGCCTGGGATGTATGACTTTATTTTGGCCTAGGACAGAAACCTGGAAGTAACTGAAAAAATGGTGAAAAAAAGGTTAAAAAGACCTTCCTATCTATATACTAATGCTAGCAGCAAAAGAATTTAAAATAGTCGTTGATTGAGAGAGTTCTGCTTTAACTAAAAAGATTCTTTTTCTTCAGAAACTGATATGCATATGCTAAATATGCCACTAAAAGTTAGATCCAGCTTGAAATGTTTATTGACCATAAGTCTGTGCTAATACAATATAAAAAATAATATGGTAACTTTCAGAAAGACTGTTAGATGAAATCCTTAAATCGGTATTAAAACAAAAAATGTCATTTATTGCAGCGTACCAATCATTAGATGTTGTGGCGGCATTAGTTTTCTTTTTGTACCCTTTTTCCTCTGTTTTCACCTGGTGATCTGGTCAGTAACACACCTCCGGTATTGGTGAGACACCATTCTGGAGAAATGAGCACAGGAGACAGCAGCAGTGTCAGTCTGGGGGAGAGGTGAGTATTAGATATACTAGCAGATTGAGGAACATTAACAAATTGAAGTCAAACTCCAGCTCACTCACACTTTATAAACAGCAAACAGTTTTTTTTTCCCTTTGGGATAAAGATTTCACATGAACAAATCTAAGCTGAAGCTCCAGGCCATCTCTTGCACTTTTTGTTTACATTTTAAAATTAGTATGTTTTGTTAGAATATGTATTAGAACCCTGAAATTTTATATATTCCTTTGAAGCAGCAGCCCTAGAGAATAAATTGGTGATTTTTGCATTTTTTTTTTATGTTACATGGTATTTGTGTGGCAGTTTATCCAATGCACTTTGGGAAAAAAAAAAATTTTTAAATTTTATTGCAAAAAAAAAAAAAAAAAAAAACACTGTACATAACCCAATAAAAAAAAATTAGATGATGTTATACCAAGGAAATGGATACCAAACATGTCATGCTTTAAAATTGCGCAGGCCCATGCAATGGCAACAAACTGCGTAAATTTTACTATTCATAGGCGATATTTTAAAAGCCTTTACAGGTTACCAGTGAAGATTTACAGAGGAGGCCTAGTGCTAGAATTACTAGCCCATGATCTGACGATCATGGCCATTCCTCACATGTGTGGGACAATCGTTTGTGTGTGTGGAAGATGGACATGTACATTCACCATTGCACACCTGGGGGGAGGGGGGCGGTTATTATGTAATTTTTTTTTAAAGTTTATACATTATTTTTTTTTAACCACTTCCAGTCCGGACACTTTCACCCCCTTCCTGACCAGGGCAATTTTCAGCTTTCAGCGCGATCACACTTTGAATGACAATTGCGCGGTCATGCAACATTGTACCCATATTAATTTTTACCATTTTTTTGAGACAGATAAAATTTTATTTTGGTGGTATTTATTCACCGCTGGGATTTTTATTTTTTTTTTTGCTATGTAAATGAAAATGTCCAAAAATTTAGAAAAAAGGTGTTTTTCTTATAAAAATATCTATTTCTATCCAAATAAATAATATTTCATCATAAATCTTGGCCAAAATGTATTCCGTTATCTTTTTAGTAAAAAAAAAAAATATTATTTCATTTATTTATTTTTTTACATACTGCCACCCTAGCAGTACAGTGTCACCATGGTGACACTATACTACTTTTGGGGGGTGATGAAGATTTTTTTTTTTTTTTTTTTTTTTTTTTACACTGATTGCTTTTACACCCATATAGGATGTAATGGCAATCATTTCTCTTTCTCTCTGTCTGCATTCTTGCAGCCATTGATAACTACTGAGTGAGCTGTGATTGGATTGGTTATAGGGGGACCCAAACATGCTGCCCCCACAGCCACATCATTCATTCACAGTCCTATGTTAATGAATGGACTACAGCACTGTGGCAGTTCATTGAGTCATCCTGTCAGCAAGTATCAGATTGCCCATATGGGATGTGCAAGCACACAGATACAATGACAGTGTACAGGAGACCTGCATGGCACCAGCGATCTGCTGATTGCTGATGCAATGCTTTACAGGCTCCTAACACAAAAATAATGAATACACATTTTTACCTGCCCAAAAATGTGCATTTATTTTTTGTGGAAAGGTGAACCTATCCTTTAAATAAACACTCTACTAAAAATGTTTTTTAATTTTGTTTGTCTCCCCATTGTACTGATAGGAAATGAAGGGAAATCTTTCCAATAAGAACACAGAAACGTGTTCTCAGACGTGGCTTCTCGCGTGCTGATAATTGGCATAGAAAAAAAACTTGTTTATAACTGACACATAGCAAAGCTGCTCTAATGTTCCCAGCCACTTTTTATCTGTTCTGGTGTCATTCAACCAGAATGGAAAAGGTAAGTAAACATAAAGTACAGCTGCAACCTTTTCATGGAAGCAATGACATATTTATGATCTCTGTCATATAGAAAATTGGTAAAAGACCAATTTTTACTGGCCAGGCTGGTAAGATACCAGCTAGGGAGCCTGCCTATCAAAAAATTAAATGATAACTCCACTGTCATTGAAAAATGTTAGCAAATTAAAAAAAAAAAACTAATATAGCATATACAATTGCAACACAAGTCACATTGTAATTGAATTTTAATAAAAATGTCCTTTCTTTTTCAATCTGCAGCACTGTAATCTTTTCTAAGTCACCGGTCACACCGCTGCAATTTAAAATCTGTGCAATTTCAGTACGATTTCAGGTGCTGTTTCTGAACACTTTATTGCTGCTTGTGAAGATTTTTAACGATTTCTTGCAATTTACAGTGCAATTTTCATTATATTCTATGTATGTGAAATCGCAATAAAACTGCAGAAAAAGTAATGAAACAACTACTTTAGAAATGCAGCAGCAAATTGCAAATGTTTACAAGAAATGTGTAGTGTGCTAACTCCTCATGGAACAATTCGAATAAAATTAAATAAACCTCCAACAGTCCCTTAAAAAATAAATTCACACTATAAAAGCCCAAATCCAAAAATGTCCAAATTAACGCGTTTAGCAATCACTTTCCAAAAGATGTGCTTGTTCTCAAGATACTCTCCCTTCTCACCTTTAAGTTCGACCCCCAAATTATAATAAGTAAGTCAAATGAATCCTTTCATGAGGCGATGAATCCAAATGTTGTCACTCAATCACGGCTCCAAAAAACGTATATAAAAAACAAGAAATATATCGTATGCAACACAGTTTAAAATAAACGTTGAATGCACCAAACATATGCACTCACATTAACGAAAAACACACCGTGCTCTACAAACAGTGTTGTAAGTGTTCACTTTATCCACTGCCTTGCGCCCGTCATTGGACTATATGGCGGGCGGGAGGAGGTTAAACACATTGGCTTGTGTTGGCTATTATCATAACCATTTTCCGTATCTAAACTGCATCTAAACCCAAAACCAATAATGTAAGTTTACTAGTCCTTGGTGTGGTGGCTGCATTTGTTTTTTTTTTCTTTTTTCCAAGCTTCTTTTGCTTTGTTTTCACCTGGTAATCCTGCAAGTAACACACTTACTGTCCCTGGGTTGCAACATCACTCCTCCATGTTATCTATGGAGGAAGTCCTGGTTGTCAGCCTAGGCTGCTTTGCTGATATGGACAATCTATTTTGTCTGTATCTCTTTTACACTGGGGGCAGGACAATTGTAAGTTTACAGAAGATAGCTAGTAAGCATTTAAATTTACATTTACATTTACACATTTAAAGCGGAGTTCCAGTTATTTTTTTGTGCTTATTAAAAGTCAGCAGCAACAAAAACTGTAGCTGTTGTCTTTTAATAAACACACACTTACCTGTCCCGGGGTCCAGCGATGTGCTCACCCAAGCAGTTCCTTCTGCCTCTTCTCTCCCCGGCATCACAACTGTGGGCACCAGGCTGTGACAGAGTGCGGCTTCACAGCCGGATGCCCACTGCGCATGTGCAAGTCACGCTGCACATTCTCATTGGTCTGACAGTCTTCTGGGACCTGTGAAGATTCCCAGGAGACTGAGGGAGGAAGAAGGGGGGCAGAACTTCCGTCTCACTTTGCCGTGGCGAACTGAGCCGGAAGTGGGAGCTGGTACCTGTAAAAAACAGGTATCCACTCACCCCCCCCCCCAAAAGATGCCAAATATGGCAGTGGAGGGGGAGAGGAGGCAAATAAGGAGAGCTTCCGCCTTTGAGTGGAACGCGCTTTAAATTAGTTGTAAAGGCTCAAGGTTTTTTACCTTCATGCATTCTGTGCATTAAAGTAGAAAAAAACCTTCTGTGTGCAGCGGAACCCCCACCCCCCCTAATACTCACCTAAGTCCCCTCTCGATCCAGCGATGTGCACTGGAGTCTCAGCTAGCAAACAATTCCTTCTCCTCATTGGCTGAGACAAATGCAGGAGCCATTGGCTCCCACTGCTGTCAGTCTCAGCCAGTGAGCCAATGAGAAGAGAAAAGGGGTGGGGCCAAGCCACGGCTCCATGTGTGAATAGACACACAGAGCAGCGAATTCCCCCTTAGAAAGCTGCTTGCTGTGGGGGCACCCAACAGGAAGGAGGGGCCAGGAGAGCCTGGGGACCCGAG